TCCAATTAAGACGCATTCCCTGAAACGACTGTCCAACTGAACAAACTTTCTTACAAATGTTCTTATAAACATTAAAAAGATTAAAATTAAACAGTTGTATTTACGTGGCTACGTATTAAAATACAAACATACGCATTTACATGCATAAATGCATATGTATATATATATATGCATATGTATATATGTTTTAATATATATTCTTGATTAGCATGAAATTATGAACTGATTAAGCCAAGTCTGTTCATCTGTCCGTCTGTGTGGTGTTTGCTGTTGACGGCAATCTCTTGGGGGCACAAGTGAAGATATCGACTTCAATACGTAAAAGGAAGCTTCAATGATCCTATGACGTATATATATTCTTGATTAGCGGCAAATTCTGGATCGATTACGCCATGTCTGTCCCTCTGTCCCTCTGTGCAGTGTTTGTTTTTGGCTATTTCTTGGTGGCGAAAGTGAAGATATCGATTTCAAGATTGAAAGTTTTTTGCGCAGCGATTGGTATTGAAAATGGGCCAAATCGGTCGGAGCGGAAGCGCACAGTGTAGCGTAAACTGAAAGCAGCTTTGTTTTTGTTAACAAAAAATTTGTGGATTTTTACTCGTTATTGATAATTTCCACATTAAGTCTTTACGTCCGAAAATGGAATAAATTGGTCATGCGCACACACAAAGATACAAGTGACTAAATTTTATTTTGTTTTCACTTCATTGGAGGTTTACGCTTATTTCTAATGAAGCACACAAGACAGCAATGTTCAAAACTATTTTTGAAGATATATTATCTGTCTAAAAATGGGTTAATTCTAAAATAAATATGGTGGACGTCACGTTCTGATGGATTAATTGTTTTTTAATAATACCAGGGATATGGGTATCAAATAAAAGAACTTGGAGAGAGTAGAATGCGAAAAGCATAGTGGGGGTTGTGCGCCCCCCCCCCCCCCCCCTCCAACCCCTTCCTCCTTCTCTCCCCCCAGGAATATAACTTCTTTGCTTTTCCCATTCTTAAGTGACATGCATTAAATATATTTTTGTAATGCGGGCTTAAACGCTTTGATTTATTAAAAAGAAGAAGAAGAAAATTCATCCAAATCCATGAGGAATTTGTACTTTTTCAAAATTATCTCGCATTCGCATTTAGAAGAGCAATTAATTACTTATATCATTTGTGGTATAAGCTACAGCACCCCGCAAGAAGGTTCACCATAACATTATAAGTCCTTACATCCAATTAGTAATTGTTTAGGATGAAAACGAGGCCTTTAATAAGTAAATAAAATTTTTTATATTTGATGAATGCATAAATCTACTAAGCGAAATGATCTACGATATTTAATATTTAATGTTATTTAATTTTTTTTTTCTATTACTTAAAACTCTTCACATCTCTTAATTAGTAGAAAGGAAATATATATTTCTCCCATCAAAAAAAAAAAAAAAAAAAAAACTTTATTAGCGATTGCGTGAGAGTTTGTGAAAGACGACCAAAAAAAAAAAAATGGCATAAAATAATTAACACTTTTTATAATTGATTGAACAACATTTGCAGTAAATATGAATTAAGAGATTTTTATACAAGTTGTGTTTAGGATTTAAGAATTTTAAAAATAAATAAGGAAAAGACCATTTGAAAACAAGTAAGAACATTATAGTCGGGCAAAGCCGACCCTTAACCACACCCTAACACAATTCTACTTTTTAAATATATATTTGGGGACGGGCCCAAAAAACACTCTAATGTAGTACAAATTACAATCCTTATATAGGGCAGAAATCAAAAATAGGCGTAGACGATCCCTATTTTGTAGAGCCCGGTTTTGTATGAAATTAGTATAATATTATGGGACAATTTGCTTCACCACATTTTAAAACTTAGACGTTTCTGCTCTACAAAGGATTAATTTGCGTGAGAATCCTTGTTACGGAAGGAATTATGTTCAATTACTATTACACTACATATATAATTTTTATTATGAAGTATTGAAAAGCATTCAAAATTTCTGTCGTATGAACTTCAGTTTTCGTTATATGAGAGACGGTTTAAAAATTGCTTAAGCGAATTTAAAATGCCGGAATACTATGACTTCGTCACTTTTGCCGAGAAATTTTTGAAAATATCAATTTTTTTTCATATCCACGACTTTTCAGAAGAGAGCGTCATATGATGAGTGGTCGAAAAAATGGACCGATGCGAATCATTTTGAATAACATTCGTCCTTGAGTCAAAATATGTCACTGTACTAAATTTTATCAAAATATCTTGAAAATTACGATCTGTAGTTTGAACACATATTAACATGGACGGACAGATAGGCTTAAATCAATTCAGCTTATGATACTGAATCGATTGGTATAATAAAATATGAATCTATCTTAAGCGCTTCTGCGTGTTGCATACGATCGTACCGATTTAATATTCTCTGTACCACAAGTTGTGTTGGGTATAAAAAGGCCAATTATGTATCTACGATCGCTTAAAAACGAATTTCACATTCATATAATAATTGTTGCAAGACTCTGCAGGAAATTAAAGAGAAGCGCGTGTAAACCGTTATATAATTTTGCCATAGATGATGCATATATATATATATATATATATATATATATATTTATAAAGAGCAAAGGCACTCTCGCATAAATTCGCTCAGTCAGTCTCTCATTCTCTTTCTTCCCCGTTCAAGTGCAAATGCTTGCAAGAAAGCTTCGCCGTGTTTATATGCATGTATGTATGTATGTATGTATGTATGTATGTATATATGTATGTATATATGTATTCATATATGTATGCATGGATGTGTGTGCTTACAATGCAATGAATGCTACCATTTAGCATGTTGTTATTGTTATTGTTCTCATTTGTTGTTTTTGTAGTTCTTTCTATCACACCATTGTGTCGTTTCAATTCACATCTTCAAGGCATTTAAAGTCGCTTAGCAAGTTCCAGATAGACTTTGTAAGTTGGCGCGTGAAAATCTCTTCTGCATTAAGCTCTTGCGCATATATATATGTATATATATATGTATATATATATATATATTAGGCGGAAGTATTCTTGAAATTCGGACGTGTTGTAAAGAAACATTTGTTTGTTATTGGCTTGTTTTCCTTTTGCTTTTTTTTTTTCGTTTTTTTTTTACGCTATGACTCAAATATCAAATTAAGATTTAAAAATAATTTAAAAAAAAAAAAAAAAAAGTGGAATATAAAAAACGATCATCTGTTATTTTTTTTTTTTTTTTAATATTTTTTTTTTTATTCAAAGAGTGTTAATATCGGTAACAAGATCGGTAACAGTAAAATATGTGAATGGCTTTTGCTAATTAAACGGAATCAACCATCACTTAATAATAATACTAATAATAATAATAAATTTTTATTTTGTGAAGAAAAGCAGTAACAAGTAAAACGAAACATTATTATAAACGTAAATATAAAATGAAACCTTTTTTTTTGTTGTTTTTTTATTTTTTATCATTTAAGCTAGAATTGTAGAAAAGTAATTTAACTCGACGACTTGACAACTTAAAGAATAACCTAAATCTTCGGACTATTCGTTTACCTGATTTAAGCAAATTTTAAAGAAATTTGGCATAAGAAGGCAAAGTGTTCAAAATAAATAACATCAAAGAAGGAAAAAACGAGCTTTACTCAAACAATTGTAATTGCACTTAAGAACATTGTTGAACCGTTAGGGATTAATTACATCAAATATAAATATCCGACAATAGGAAACATTATAGATGTCATGCGATAATTTCATTATAACTAACAACGCAAAAGCATTATAAACTTACTAAGTAAGAGACACATTCGCTTTGAAAGAAGTTCCCAAAACTCATAATTTCAAGGTTATATTGCTGCGATCTAAATTTATAGTATATTAACAAATCGATCGAATCGATGCTAAATTATTGATCAACCAACTTTCATCAACCTATAGGCATTTATTCGATATATATACATATATAAAAGATTTTTTATTCAAAAACTTTTATCTAAAGGCCTTCTCGTTATATATTAATGGGGGAAGTCTTTAATGTTATGCTTATCAATGAACTTTACAAAGGTCAAAATTGAACTATTACTTGTAACCTTCGGTTCGAGTCGATGAAAATTGTTGAATTGAATGAGAAATTTCCAAAAACTTGAACACAATATATATGTATGCATTATGATCATATTGAAAATTCTCCGCGATATGAATCGTATTGATGCCTGTATATCGGGCAAGGCTCACCCGATTGTTATTGAATTGAATGAGCAAAAAAAAAAAAAACACAAAAAAATCGTACGCGCATTGCATTGTTACCTTTTTTATTGTTGCGTATGTCGTACTTCATTTAACCAAAAACAACAAAAAAAAAAAAAAAAATATCGAACTTTATCTAATTTTGTTTTTTATTTTTTTTTCCCCTCCATAGGAAAACGTGACAATATTTGTACATTTATATGAATAAATATATATATATATATATATATGTGTATATATATAACGTTTTTATACATCAACAGCCCATCACAACGAAAAATTAGAGGAACAATAACAGAAAAATATATTCTAAACACACGAAAAAATGATTCGGTACAAGTGGAAGTTTTTATTTTTTTTATTTTTTATTTTATGTTTTTTTTTTTTTTTTTTTTTTTTGTACTTAACCAACTATTGAGCTAGATTTCTCTATATCACTAATAATGATGATAATAACAATAATAATAAGAATAGAAAACGTTTTAATTTAATTTAAGCATTATTAACTAAACTACGCACAAGTGTTCTCCAGATAATTAATGTTCTTACAAAGTTTCTCTATGCACGATGGGAAAGAACGGATATTAAAATTTAAAAAAAAAATACAACAATAACAATAATAATAATAATAATAATAACAAAATATATTATACGATCTTTCTCATCTTGGCGAAGGTGAACAGGAACTAATGCAATGAAAGCAAATCTTGTTTATAATATTAAGTGTCTGCTACTGACTAAGCAAGCAAACCAAAAAAAAAGATATTTTATATAAAGACTAGAATTCCTTTACAGAAAACATGCTTCTTCGATCGCCTAGTAGTTAGTTAATGGACATCGAGTGTTGTCAATCATCTATCTGAGGCTAAAAAATAAAAATTCCAGACTTTAGTTCCAAATCTGTAATTGTCGCCTGACGACACATCATGACCATTCTTCTTCTCCCAATAACTCGGAAAATTTGCTTCCTTCTTTTTTTTTTTGGGTTTTTCATATTTGACCAGCCATCCCGGGGAATGTCATCTACAAGTATAGGTACGACCACAATCGAGAAAGGAGAAGCAATCTTTTGTTTCTGTTCCATTTGAAAGTGAAAAGAGCGCGAAAGACTGCCATAGATTGATTGAAGCTAAGTGAGAGAGAGAGAGAGAGAGAGAAGTGGTAAAACTCGAAAAGTCAAGCGATCCCCGTGAACGGAGTAAGTGATAGAGAAATATGTTTTATTGTTGAACACATACATACATTCGCCGATATTCAAGAATATGTTCAAGGTTATTTGCATATAAGCATTTAAGATCTTTGCTGTGCGAATTCAAGAGAAACCCGGCAAAACTTGACAATCACCGCCCCATACATACTATACGTACTCTGATATTGAGGTGTTGTAAATCGCCCTAACCAATGAATGAGTTTATCAAACTTTTATTATTAAAATCATTGATAAATCATCCGATTGATATCCTATCCTAGTCAGGCTTTATAGAAACTATTAAACCCTGTACGGAAGCTGCGGTCAAAATAGTTGTTACATTTTTAGGTTTCAAGGCAAATTTTTCAAAAGAATTGAAATGATTAGGACTAGCACCAAATTGAAAGGTGACAAAGTTGAAAATTATTTGCGTTTAAGTGTAACCTTCATAAGGTGCGTTACATGCTCGATTATTTGCTTTATTTATTATTATTAATTTTGAATTTTGAATTCACTATCTAATCCATCCAGTTCATCTCCAATTCACTTCTATTTGCAGATTTTTGGAAAATAAATCAACTTTCATTGCTAGTCATCATTAATAAGGATAGCAGATAATATCCCAGCAATTAAGGCAAACGCTTACTTTTCACGCATTTCAATTAATTGAGCTAATTTTGTCAAGCAAAAGGGCACGAAATTTATCGGAAATTCGAATTCATAGAATGGTAGAAGGTAACTCGGAGAAGGCCGGCAATAACTGTAAGTATGATAATGGGGAGGAAAACTTTATTTACAAATAAGCAATTTATCTATACATATATATATATATATATGTGTGTGTGTGTGTGTGCGTATTTATTATGCGACTCTTTACAGTCCATAATGTAGAAAGTGGATTACAATCAAACTACTCTGGCAATAGCACTGTAAACTCTTTAATAACAGCAGCAACAACAACAACAACATATACAACAACAACAACAACAACAACAACAACAGCAGCAGCACCACCAGCACCAGCAGGAACAACAATTGATAATCGTTCCATCCTACAACCCTATAGTATAGTTGTAGATTCGAAAAATCCTGGCTATCAGTTTATAAACACAAGCTATGAAACAGATAAACACGACGTAGAGAAAGCATTTAATAATGGATCGGGAGGCCGGCGATCTCTACCTGGCATCAAAGCCGGCTTTGAGCAAGCTATCGAATTATGCGGTTATGGAAAATTTCATTATGTGCTTTTGGCTATATGCGGCCTGGTTAGCACAAGCGAAGAAATGGATGTCATCTCGATGTCATTCATTCTACCCTCAGCTCAATGTGATTTAAATTTGAATACAAAAAGCAAAGGTTGGCTTAATTCTATAATATTCATTGGCATGATGGTGGGTGCATACTTTTGGGGTAGCATTGCTGATTCGGTCGGTCGCAAAAAAGTGCTCATAGTGATCTCATTCATGAACGGTTTTTGCATTGTAGCCTCGTCCTTCTCACAAACCTTTGAATGGTTTATGTTCTTTCGCTTTTTAAATGGTGCTGCGTAAGTATATTATTTTCTTTATTATAATTAATTATTATATTCTAAACCATTTGCGACATATTAGTATATATTGAGGACTTTGGACTTTGGTGTATACGTAGTCTTTATTATACCGATCGATTCAGAATTATTTTCTAAATCGATTTAAGTTTATCTGCCCGTCGCAATTATTCGGCACTTGAATGTCTTAAGGGATTTAAGCAAAACAATTTCCGCTTTCAAAGTCGCGCTAAGTTGCTCTAAAGCGCTCTTCCCTACAAATAATAATTTGTTATCTGTTTATTGTTGAGACGAACAATCGAAAGAAAGCAATTTATATGAATAATAATAAAGCGATAGATAAAACGGTAGTCGTTAATTAATTAAGCGGACTTTCTAATTATTTCATTTAAAATGCTAACGCTTTCAAAGGCCATTTCTTTACAATCCACGCAATAAATGCATTCATTATACCCGATAAAAAGTGATAGGCAAACTGGTCTCTTAACTCAATTCGAATAGTGAAATAAATCGATTCATTTATGTTTCTTATTATGATTGACGTTATATTTTATCGTTACACACACACACACAAAAACACACACACACACACACAAAAGAAAATTCAATTATAGCCGTCATATAATAATTTTCCGTTTTTTTCCTCAAGTCCGCATATTCCGTGCCCTGGTTCGTACAGAGTTGTAATAATTATTTCAATGAAAACTGTTTGGTTCGTAATTAATCTGTAGCATACCCTTGCCGTATAGTTAATATAGGCGATCTAAGGTTTAAAAAAAAAAAAATTTAGCATGAAATATCTCTCTCTCTCTCTCTCTCTCTCTCTCTCTCTCTCTCTCACACACACACACACACACACACACACATACACACCAATTTCTCAATGATAATTCTCTTTCTCCGGGCAGCTTTGTTTTTTGGCGCGAAAACACTATGAACTTACACAAGATTTTGATAGAAAACATTGGAAAACGAATCTTTAAGGAAATGTTTTCCTACGATTATTACGTATAACGCGTACGTAGATTAGTGCGTTCGATAGAGAAGCAAATTGCAAAAGTTAATTTTTCTTCTATTTGAAAAATTTGCAATTATTGCTTAAGCCTTTCCTTTCAATTAAATGCTTATGTGGCTGCATCATAAAATTTGCCAATAAATTAAAAAATATATATTTTTCAAGATCTAGTTTATAATGTATATGCATATATATGTATATATATATATTAACATATATATATTAATTTTAATAAATCGAAATATATCCTATCATTTGTAGCCTTGGCGGTAGCGGTCCCGTGATTTGGTCATATTTTGCTGAATTCCAACCGAAGGCGAAACGTGGATGTATGTTAAGCTTTATGGCTGCATTCTGGACATTTGGTAATCTTTTTGTAGCTGGTTTGGCTTGGCTAATTATACCTACCAATATTGGTTTTGTTACATCGATATTCACTTATAATTCGTGGCGTATTTTCTTAATGGTTTGCTCGACGCCTTCGTTTCTCGTTGCATTCCTGCTATTCTATTTGCCGGAATCACCAAAATTCTTATTATCTAAAGGTAAACCAGACCGAGCTATGGCGATTTTTCGTGGCATCTTTGTGACCAATAATAAAAAATCACCCGATTTGTATCCCGTCGCCGAATTAGATTTCGATGAAAAACTTATGCAAGAATTAAAAGAGAAAAGGGAATCCCTTAAAGGGAAATATACGAAAATGTTATCAAATATGGCCGAGCATAGCAAAGAATTGTTTCGAAGACCAATTCTTAAATTTACTATCGTTTCAATAACGATTAATTTCACTTTTCATATTGGATATTATGGTTTAATGATGTGGTTCCCCGAACTGTTTAGTCGTTTTGAAGAATACAGTAACACTTTTCCTAATCAAACAGCTGGAGTTTGTATTGTTACCGACTATATCGTCGGAAAAGGTAATCAGGATAATGCCATCTGTTCGGCGCATATACCATCAGCAGTTTTTATGGAATCGTTGATATCATTGGCCTCTGCTTTGCCCGCGAATTTAATTGCCATCCTGGGTATGGATTGGCTCGGGCGGAAATTCTTTTTAATATTCGGAACAATGACGGCTGGTGTTTGTTCCGCTGCAATGTATTTTGTTTATAATTCCACGCAAAATTTGATAGCGACCGCTGTGTTCAGTGGAGCCATTTCTACTGCTAATGCCGCCCTGGATTGTCTTATTACAGAAGTATTTCCAACACATTTACGAGCCACAGGTGTGGCCGTATCTATGGTCGCCGCCCGTATGGGCGGTATCATTGGTAATATTGTGATAGCTACACTGTTGGATCAGTATTGTCCCGCTCCTACAATTATCGTAGCTGTTTTGCTAATAGGAGGCGGCCTTATGAGCCTGTTTTTGCCCAATACGACACGCAAAGAATTGAACTAAGCAGCAGCAGCAGCAGCAGCAGTACGGCCAGTCAGCAGTAAAGTCATTATCATTGCTTTGATTTCTTTCTTGATTATTCTACCGACCTACGCACAACTAACTAGATTAACACGATACATATATATAATATTGTAAATAGATATATATGTATTTTAGATTTTATAATTTGAAATTACGCTCAATTAACGTTACTCAAATCAATTAATTAATGTCGAGTAATAGCCGAAGAGAGTGCAATTGAAATGTCGGTCTATTTTTACTCTCTTCTATGCATTTTTCTTCTTTTTTCTTTTTCGTTTTCGTTTTCGTTTTTTTTTTTTTTTTTGGTTTTTTTGTTTCATTTAATTTAAATTTTTTTTTTAAAAATTAAAAAAAAAAAAAAAAAAACATTATTTTTATGTTTAAGCTTTTTATTTAATGAAGAAAACTATTGAATAAAAATGCATCAAATAATCAAAAATTGAATTTTTAAATTTAAAATTTAGAAAAAGCAAAAAATGTATTAAAATAAATTAAATAAAAAACTAATAAAGAAAAAATTTTTTAATTCGTAGCGTATTTTATTATGCTCGCCATTCCTGTTATCTTTTTTTTTTTTTTTTTTTTTGCCTTAACTCAATTGAAGTTGTTCTTGCTAACGATATCGCCTTAGGTTTGAATTTATCAAAAAAATGCAAAAATTTAGATTCAAAGCACTATAGTAATTTATTGCCATAGATCGAAGCGAACTCAGAAGAAGAAAAGTGCCGCCGAAATATTTCCATAAATAACTTATCAGTCTTTTATCATGGATAAGCAGTTAATGAAGCATATGTCCAAGCCAAGTCATTTCGTTGTAGCTAATAGTGTGTTTATTAGGTTGATACAAATCTTTCGGATCGCATCTGCATTCAATTCCTCCGCTTGTGGTACAAGATATATTAAGTTAGGACGGACGTATGTAATACGCAGAAAGGCTTAAAATATACTCAATCGATTCAGAATCACAATCTGAATTGATCTAAGCCTGTCCGTCCGTCCATGTAAATTGGTGTTCAAGCTACAGATCGCAATTTTCGAGATATTTTCATGCAATTTGGTCGAGCGACCGGATAAGTGCGTTAAGTAGCGGTTCGGATAAGTCCATTTGTTCGACCACTACCCATATATAGCCGTAACCTGATAAATTGTTATATGGAAAAAAATTGCAACTTTCAGAAGTTTCTCAGCAAAAGTGACTCTAAGTAGCTAAATTTCGGAATTCTAAATTGGTATGAAAACTTTGGTTTGGCTGGGTCCCCCCAAATCCTCTTTCGTGTAACGAATATACATCTATCTAAGGATATCATGAAAATTCTTGTTTTTTAGGATGGAAAAGGCTTCGATTAATAATTTATCCATAATAGAAATATGATATGAAAACAAGTAAAAGAATTTAAATTCAGTCAGGACCGAATCTTTTATGCCCATCACCGTTTACCACCACAAAAAAAAAAAAAAAAAAAAAAAGAACGAAATTCCTATGCTCTATACTATGGAGTGGGCGCAACTGATTCCTTCTATTTTCAAAATAAAAATTTCTGACGTATAGGCATGTGCGTGTTGTAGACGCGTCCTTTGAAAAGTTTAGATCAATTCCAAATTCTTTTGGAAATTTGTTTGGCAATATCTTTATTTACGCTAACGGGAGAATGTTTACTACAAAGTAACGCAAATAAACAGATGGACAGACGAACACGTGGACATGTTTACGTGCATTCAACAGTTATTACTGGCCAAGAATTTGTATACTTGAGGGGGTTTTTTGAAGCTTGTTTCAACGCGTTATAAAGGTTTTGAAGAAAGAATTAGATTTTGATACACTAAAATAGCGGGTAGGCGTGGCCAATCTTTTTCATTGTTTTGTTGTTGTCTCAGTGCTGTGAGCGTGTCCTTCAACCGATTTGGTTCGATACTATAGGGTTCTAGGGTGGAACGATTATCAATTGTTGTTGGTGTTGCAAGCGGTGTTATTGCTGATGTTGTTAAAGGGTTTCCAGTGCTGTTGCCAGAGTAGTTTAATTGTAATCCACTTTCTGCATTATAGACTGTAAAGAGCCGCACAACAAATACATATACAATACACGTATACACATATACAAATTGCTGGTTTGTAGTTTTTTTTTTTTTTTTTTAACGATGATTAAAATGCAATTTTTTAATAGACTATCAGTTACAGCGTACAGCGTAACATTTCCGATGCGATTTCTGTTTTACGGAACAAAGCGAGGAAAAAGTTTTCGGATAATCAAATATGCTGTCGAAACGTGATAAATTGACGTTTCAGATCGTCTTTTCACGGAATCCTCATTATCGTAAATTTCGTAATAAACTTCTTTTTACAGTTTTTGAAACGTTCACCCTTTGTACGATATTCATAATTGTGCTGGGACACAACAAACACCCTATTATTCACGGGCCACTAAATCGGCATTAACCGCAAATTTAGCAGAATGTGATTGCACGTCACGTAGCCCTTCACTATAGTGCCCTAATTTAGAAAAGTCCCAATTTCTGTGGAGCGTGCTTTACAGATTGTGTTTATTCTTTTCTCTTGCATACGATCGTCACGCGCAGTTGGCGACAGATATGCTCATGTGGAACACACTGTCGAAGCACTCACAAGAAAGTCCATCTAGTTGTAGTTTTGATTATGCTCTAACCACGACCTTCGATTACGATCATCATTATTACCGTAATTGCTTCAGTGATAATTTGTGTTTGCTGCTTGAAAAAAAAAAGGTCTTCGTAATTCTAGTGGTGGCGCATCTTCACAATCCAACCACAAGCATTTACAATATTGGTCATTTCTGGTGGTGAATGAATCAATTTTCAACATTGGCCTGCAAATCCCAGCTAAGACTGTATAATCTAAATTTCAATTTCGTATTCGAATTTTTGGACCATTAATATCCCGCAAATGATTACATTCAAGAAATAGGCTTGTAGAAATCCATATATAGGCCGATCAAAGTCAATTCCCATTTAGAAAGCATTTTGCCTTCTTTTGAAAGAGATTCATCCCAAGGCATTAATCAATTTCGCTTCACTCGTAAGTTGTGTAGCTGTTCTTTAGCTTAGCCATTACAGACCAAGAAAATGCGTACAGCCAGCAACAGTTTGAGCAAAATAAAGAATTTTCCTTAGGTATTTTTTATTCTGACTTTATTTCTACTGCAAGTCGAAAAGGAAATTGAAAATATTTCAAAATGTTTTGAAATAATCACAAACCTACGGCTGTGTTTTACTTTATTATTATTATTATTTGTTTTTTTTATTTATTTATTTATTTATTTATTTTTTTTTTTGTTAATTTTTACACTAAAGTCAATTTATTTCAAACATTTTCATACAATTCATTTTTATTCTCTTTATTTATTATTGTTTCGTTTTAAATTTAAGTGTTTCTTAAATGTTTTAATTTTTTTTTTTTTTTTTTTTTTAATGCATTACATATTTAAAATTATTTCGTCGGGAGGAATAAAACTATATACACGTACATATATATATATATATTATATATCTTTTAAAGCCACAAAAATGATTTACGATTTGTAATAATAAATTTTTGTTCGTATTTCTAGTTTAAAGGACTTATGGACTAAAGAGAAATTTCTAAATTCTTAAACAAAATCGAAAATAAAACAATAGGAGAGATTTGAAATCTGAATAAAAAAAAAGAAAAAAGGAGTCGTGCGCAAGCACTCTACGTTCAGAATTTGAATTTAAATTTAAATCTTTATACGTAAATCTTGACGATTAAGTTAAAAAATTGTTAAGTATATGATGTCTATACGTTTTGTTATTCTTTTATCTTCCTCTTTTTATTTATTTATTTTTTTTTTTTTTGTTTCTTTATAATTCACTTAAGCCAAATAAAAAATCAATATTTTTAAAAAAAGTTTTTTTTTGGCCGTTTTTTTTTTTTTGTTTTTCTAATTCTCAACTAAAAGTGACATGAATTGTTCCACATTTGCGCCAGCTTAACAACAAATCATAACAAATTTTAGTTCTATACTTCCGGCACTCATGAGATAGGAGACATTCTAATGATGTTAGTTCGGTTTGTAATAACATTTGGGAATATGTGTTGGAGATCAGTTTAATTTAATTTTTGGTGGAAATGAATTCAAAAAATAAGCTCTACTCCACTCTTTGCGAACAAGTTTTCAAGATTAAAAAAAAAATAATAAATAAATAAATAAATAAAATAAATTTAAATAATTAGCAAAACGAAGGGAACGGACACTTTGTTTTGAAATGAAAAATACATGAAAACATAATTTCAATAAATCGTTTACGAAAGCATATTTTTATCTCCTCATGTTAATCTCATAATCTCTTCCTCATCTTGCCCGTTGTTGATAGAGTAAATATCTGATAGCATTTTCAAATAATTAGTTAATCAAAACCGAGATTAAAAATTAAAACACAATTTTACCCTCTCCTCACAACACATATGGACTTGATTTTCATAAAACCAAGTCTTGTAGACTAGGTTGTTAATAACATTCGATATTTGCTCCTAAATTCCATTATTCATATTTTCATTTTTCTCCATCTTTTTTTGCTTGTGTTACCTTAAACATATTTTTTTATTAAAATTTGAAAGACGTTATAGTTGTTGGTTGTTTGGGTAGTTGTTTATTTTTTAATTTTTTTTTTTTTTTGCTTTTTTTTCTTTTTATTTTCATAATTACGTAACGCTATGTCTATTGTGTTATTATTCATTATTATCATGATTATCGACGAGCCCCGTTTGCTTACGTTCGATTCCACCTATTGTTTAAATTTGTAGTTTTTTTTTTTTTTTCATTTTTTCTTTATTATTATTACTATTATTATTTTGCTCTTTTGTTTTGCTTTTCCTTGAAAGGGAGGAACCAAAATGGGATGCGAATTGATTTTGATATCATTTTGTCTTTTTCAATTATTAGCGAATCTTTCTCTTAAATTGGATTTCTGGTTTTTAATATACATATATTTATTTATATATATATATATATATATATATATATATGTATACATATATTATATAATAATATATATCATATAAATATTTATTTATATACATATATTTATTTATATATATATATATATATACATATATTTATATATGTATATATGTGTGTATATATAAGTAGTACGGATGTAGGAGAAACTTAAACGAACAAAGGGAATTTAATTTTTTTTGTTTTTCGTTATTTATATTTTATTGTGTTAACCAAGACTCTGGTCATTCTAGATACTCCCACCAATCCTTTTCATAGCCCTCATGCACATGATCCAATAGAACTTTACGACGTTTTTCGCAATACCTTTAAGGGAACTTTTATATATTTTACGTTCTTGTAAAGAAAACATTTATGCATTGGTGCTTTAAACCTTTCACTTACCGATATTTATCTTGAACTTTTTGTTTTATATCGGCCAAGTTCTCTGATGTTATATCCCGTTCCAAATATTCGGATAACTTCTCTGTTGCAGATTCTAAATCTTTTTGATTATCCTCAAATATCATCGATTGGTTGTTCTTTTTTAAATAGTAAGCAAACACATACGTGTACATAAGAGTTTGACGGCATTGGCATAATATATCTACGGCTTTTTTCAGAAACTGCACCTGTGAAAACAAACAATTTGTAAAAATTAAAATAAATCCTTGTCAACATAGTTGAGAAAGAAAATCGTATTCTTTCGTGGAGTTCGAACAAATTGTCGCCTACTTTTTAGTAAAATCGAATGTGTGAGGAAAAAAAACAACACAACAAGAGAACTTTTATACAAAATATTTGCTCGTAGAGCTGGTAGCCATTACTTCACTTGTCTTACTTATCAAGCAAAATGTGAATTTTGTATAGAAACCATATCTATTGTATATTGCTTTTGGAATGCAGTTATAAAAATGAAAGACTTTCCGGTTGAGTAGGCGATAGATAATCGGCCTAGACGAAGAAGTCATGTCTGATGATTATAAATTTTCCTCGACGAGGAGTTTGATTAATCATATTTAAAAATCATCAGTTTTGCCATTGGTTGTTGCTGGCAGCATTTTCCGTGATAGATAATTTCGCATTGTTAGAACACCTAGTAATATGCACACTCAGCTGATCTCAAAAACAAAAAAAAAGGTGGAAGAGTAACCAGTTTAGTTTATACGTCCAGTTTGTAGCATGTTTATTTGCATTTCAAATATCATCACATTGTTCGACAATGTTTTCTTTCGAATTATCCAGAAGCACTCGCACACATACTGCAATGGCCGTTTTTTTTTTTTTTTAACCCATAACCTGAGCTATTCAACGTTCAAGAAAACCGTTATAGTTACACTTTGTTAAGATAACTTTTACTGTTGCGTAAACGTGTAGGATTGTGTTATCAAATGGAATAGCTCTACAGTCAGAGTCTTCTCTATTAAAAAAAAAAAAAACAGTGCAAACTTACTTAACGTCTCTATATGTTCATCCCGGTAAAAAATACAGACAGTTTAGAACGAAATTACGGTAATATTTATTTAACCCATAATCGCCAAAATCTGTTCGGCCTTTAATCCATTGGATTTATGAAAGTAGTCAGGGTTAACTAACTAGAGTAACTTTTTAAATCCATTTTTTGTAAAAATGTAATGTATAGTCTCAGAATTCTCTTGTTTCGTTTTACTTACTTCAATCCATGACATATTGTGCTGTTGCATTTCCTCCATTTTATGTTTGACTGAAGCATACAATTTATTTTCAAATTTTAATGATTGCATATGATTCATGTAACGATTATAATAATGGAGATATCTAAAAAAAAAAACGAAAAGAAAAACAAAGAAAAATCAATGAAATGGTTTTCTTCTTCACAAATACGAAACTAAAGTAGGGAGAACTCACCTTGCCAACGAAGAACGTAATTTCTCTTGGGCATCCCTAGCTGCTTTGGCTTCATCCTCGTCGTATCGGTTACAATTGTACCACGATGAACCGTGCGGTTCCCACGAGCCCAAACACACCCAACAAAAATCATGTTTACAATTTTGGTTTTTACACACCATATGATTGCAGCCGCCGTCTTTTTCGATTGTCACATTACATTTGGGACATTCTTTGGTATTAGCTGCTATCCAATTACTAGTCTCTGAATCATCATCACATTTTTTAATCCACTTCTTTAACCAACGACATTTAACGGGATCGTGCCAATTTTCGCCGCAAACGAAACAAAACTCATGGCCGCACTTGCATCGCACCGGGCGCGACTCGACATGAGCTACTTTAATGGCATAAGTGCAATCAACGGACGGGCACCAACGCAATAATTGATTGCATTCGACAAAACTATTAGTAATCAATTGTTGATACTTTATACGAACACGAGGATCATGCACCAATTTTGTAACAGTAACATCATCCACTAAAATATCACATCCGTGAGCGGCACACGATATCGACTGACCCAATCCTTCAGTAACAATTTTCGTTGTTAAATATTCACGCCAACAGGTTAAGCAAAATCGATGGCCGCACTCTAGGCCAGTCATTGACTACAATTGAAAGTTATAATTACTTGGATATATTTATATATTACATTAGAAAAAGCATTAATAAAACTTACGTCTGAGGACAGATGGGAGAAACAAATTTCACATTCTTCAGCAGGGTGATTCTTGGAATTCTTTAAAAAGTTTCAAAGTATAATCTAAGCTGTTAAAAAATATCGTATTTCACTTTTCATTAAATACCTTTTGCCGATTGGCATTGGAGGGTTTGTTGAATGGATTTATTACATGAGCACATTTGAAAAATTCCTCCGTGTTGCCATCAAAATATTTTTCCAAAAGTTTTTCTTTGTCCCATTTGAAATGGTTTAATAGTATGCGTGTTATGGTCGATGACAGCTAAACAATTGAAAGAAAAAATTTTAAACGAAATATATATATATATATATACATAGATATAACTGATCAAAAAGAATAAAAGTACGAAAATTGTTTTCCTATTCCCTTCGAGCAAATTTAAAGTACCCAACACTTTAATTATAAATACGACAACTATAACAAGTTTACATATATATATATATATATATATATATATGGCGGGCATGTAAATCGAACCAGTTTTAAAGCATACTTTTTTTATACGCAATTTCAGAACAAGAGACAAATCTTATTATACGATTTTTTTTTTAACTTTTCATCTTTTGTGGGCGTGTGTATGGGGCCAATCTTTCACATCCGAATCTAATTCGCTTCAAACCTTCATTTTCGTGGCCTTGGAAATAGAATAGCAATGCATAACACGATAAAAGACTTTTCATTACATCACAGACGTTGGCTCCGAGCATGACAAAATTTAAATGCGTTTGTTAAACAATTGAAAAACAGGAGGAAATAGGTAATCAGAGTAAATTTTTACAATCAATAGTAGAGAAGCGTCCTAAAGCTTCAATTTAACCTTCAATTTTGGAGGACATTTTCCAACGATAACACCCTACATGTGCGTTGCTCTTGTTGACAATTGAAAAGATAATTTCAAAGAGGGATGAAGTCGATTATGTCGCTTTGTTTGCTTAATTTTTTATTATAAGCGTGAAAAAAAATATTTTTGCTTACGAGTATGTAAACTTACCTTTAAAACGTTATTAACTTCATCAATGATTTCACGTTGATGTTGTACAATTTCTTCTGTAGTTAAAACTTCATACTGATATTCTTCCGTTTCGGTCTGGCGTTCATGTGATGATGGGATATCAACTTCCATGGCAAAATCATCATCACCATCGTCGCCCGATGACACATTACCTGAATCCACATTATCCATTTCAAATGAATCTTCGTCAGAATCCATTATTAGAACAATATTAAATTAGATCAAAATTTGTCGGAACTAAACCAGTCAACCAAAGAAAATGTCCCGCAAAATAATACAAAACCGTTTTTCCGATTATTCAATGAAAACCAAAATTCTGATGATTAAGACAAATTTTTACGTTGGTATGGTATGTAGCAATTACATCAGTAGTGGTAATCGATTCTCTTGGAAAATTAAAGCTCTCTCGTTGTTTTCTGTCAAGGTTGGGGAACGCAGCTAAATCCTATCCCATTATAAAATAGAAATAAACAATAATATAAATTTCATTGACTGATTCGCTTACATTTACTTATATACCGTTTTAATTATACATCAATTATAAAAAATATACATATGTATATATATATATAATATATATATTTTTCTTCAGTTTTTTTTTTTAGATGTAACACAAATATACGCTATACAACGATAGCGTAAACGTCACTTAACCTTGTTCAAGTTTTTCTTGTTTAATTTTTGTTTGCAATATTTTGCAATATGCGCTTTCTTCTCTCTGTAGGGCAGATTTGTTTTAATGTCAACCATCAGCAGATAACAAATATAAAAGACAAAAATTATTTATCTTGACAAGAAAATATAATATATATACATATAAATGCATGTTTTATACATATATGCATATATATATATATTAAAATAACGACCTAAATGAAAAACGACTAAAAAATATAACGACCTAAAATGAAATGCATCTTAATTTTATATTTGTCGTTTACCTCATCATCAGTAACTTTCAAGGATTTGTTTACGTTTGAAAATTATATTTATTTATTAGGTATAACTTGTAAACTACTTTTCACTTTTCCTTTTCACCCTATCTTTAATAATTTTCTTCGGTCTACTTACTTCCTCCTTTACATTATTGCTTTAGTGTTGCCTTGCAAGAAAACTATTTAAAAAAAAGGCATCGATTTACTTTTCGGGTAAAATTTTTCCACTTCTTTTAACTTTTCACTGATTTATCTTTTAGCCTATTGTTTACCTTCATTCTTAACACTTATTGAGCAAAACTTAATTTCATTCTTTTTGTCGTTTCTTTGATCATATTTACACATATTGTCAATAAACTGGTGAAATATTTGCATTTCTTTACCTTTTTATAGAATGTGCAGAGAAATACAAAATATGATGAAAAGAAATTCATTTAATTGTGCCCAAAATTCTACACAAACCAGAAAAATACTTTAATGTCATGTTGTAGGAAACTACATTTACACGCACTGTAGAACACATACAATACAGTATCCCAAAGTTCAAGGTTACTTGAAAATTCAAATCACAGATAAAAAGAACACATTAAAATTATTTTTTTACATAATTTACACAATCTTCTACAAAAAAGGAGTTTATTAGTTTCCCACCAAAGTTTATGTCTTTATAAAGACTTCAAATGAAAATTTCGACAATTTCAAAATTTTTGCTTTTTTCCTCTTTGCTGAATATTTCTGACAGTTTTAAATTGTCAAAACTCTTAAATCGTTAATACAGAGTTAATTGAGAAAGAAGATTCTACTTTGTACATATTAACTATAGCTAAGCTCTTTCAACCTGCTGAGTTCACTGCCAATATTTAGGAGAGCTTAAGAAAAAATAACAAAACAGCAAGAAAATTGCGAAAACAAATTATAAAAAAATGTCTATTAAACATTGCGCACTTTAATTATTATGTGTTTTGGAAGTTTATTTTTAATACCTTTTCCAATTCTTTGTGCCTTTTTCTAACACCTTTACACTAATCGAAAATAATTATTCAGCAGCTTTAAGGTTTTTACTATAAATTTTCTTTTTTCTTCGTCCACACAATTTTTTGTTTTTCTTTTTATAGTTTTTACTTTTTTACAATTTAGTTAAAAACACGGGAATACATAAATCATTTATATATAAAAAAATTTATCTAAAAAAAATTATCGGAAAATATCTATTTTTTTTTATTTTTTCTTTTTAAGAAAATAGATTGAGTTTATCGTCTAGCGAACGAAGCAAACTGCGACGAAATTTCTTTTACATGAGAACGAGAATAGTAATGTCAATTTATTGCCTTACAGAAATTTTACTAATCGAAGTCTTTAAGCAAATATTTCAAATTGACGATATATATATTTAATAACTTTAGACATAGTTTTGAAAATGAAAAACTATAATAAATTAAAAAATTAAATAAATTATTAACTGAGTCAATCAATTAGAGAATAGATTGATGTTTATGAATTTTTAATTATTTTGCAGCGTTTTTTTTTGGGATGATTTCACGCTACATTAAAATTTGATAGCACTGTTAGAAATATAAATAAAATTATGTTACGTGTTATGACTGTTTGTCTTTCTCTACCTCAAGGGTTTTCAAGGCGAGAAAATAAATATATGATTACAAGTTTGTATTTTTCAAACGGGGATGTTTTCTACATATGCCTACGAAAATGCAAATATAAAATTTTTGTATGGCTTTTGACCGAATTTTCCAACGATGTAAAATTCTTTTGTATTTCTTTAAAAATATTAAAAGAAATGTCAACATTTTGTATATTGTTACTTAAAATTCAGACCCAGGTGCATTTTTAACATGAATAATTTTCGTTGCAATTTATCAGCATATGCGTAAAAAAAAAATCTTAAAGCTATTGGTTTTTAACGCAAATAAGCAAGCCTAAGTAGTAAATAACTCACACACACTGTTTTATTATTTTTAGCAAAAGGCCCCGATTAATCTTGTGCGCAACTTATTTTAAGCAAACAAAACACTATACAGAATATACGTATATTCGCATGCATACGAAACAAATTTACATATACATAAATATGTTTTTTGTTATACCTGAATGTAAATATTTATTTTGTTTTAACTGCAAATGAAGCGAATTCTGTACGACGGTTATTGTTGTTGATATGTAATCGCTCATAATGGAAATTTTGTTTGACATATTTACTTGCTTCCTTAATAAACAGTAACTAACTACGGAAGACAAATTTGATGGAACACGGAGATTTTTGTACAAATAATGAATCTGAATGAATGCTGAACTAAAACGTTTATATATCATTTAGTTTAATTTAGCAGTTAAATCTAAACAATAGCTAAGTATTTAATCAAATTTTGGATTGGCGTTTTAAAAGAATCTAGTTCATGCTATGCAATAATTAACAATCTGGTTTCAATAAACCCTTGTCACTTATTACTTACTAAAACACATAAATAGAAATATTCTTTAGAAAGTAGTTAAATGTTTCTACTGGCATATTTTATTGCTTAATTTAGAAGAACACATACATATAGGAGGATTTTTCAAGGTAAAATTTGCTTAAAATAATTTAATCTAAAATCGTTGTTCCATCAACAATCACAAATAATTGAATGCTTGCTATTATCGCGTTCGCCCCTTATCGTTTATGTATTGATTCTTAAACGATTTCCACAAATCCGATTTTAAAATAGGCCCAATACGAAGTGTGCTATATATAATTTTTTTTAAAATCGTTCTCCTTTAAACGGTTTCCTGCCTTTTTTTCAATTTACCTAGATAGGTGTCGTGAAGCATTCGTTATGTATTGTGCATCCTTTAAATAAAAAATTAAATTTTCATACATGTTGTTAAATTTACAAACGCACACATATATATATAGGTATGTATATATACATTAAAAAGCTGTAAAAAGATGAATCAATTATCGTACACGTATCTACATACATATAAAAATGAAAACGGGTTTTTCGTTTATTTGCTTCTGCTTGGCACATAAGCACCTGCGTTCTACTATATATATATATTACATCTATAAATTCATAAACGCTCACATATGTTTGTATGTATTTTCATACACGTAAAAAAAGAAAAATAATATATTACTACTAATATGGAATTCATCTAATCCCATGCATTTCGAAATATTCAAATCTCAAAGAAATGCATTTAAAAGAAAAACTTCAGAACTGTGTTCCTATTCGTGAACAAAGAAAATTTAAAGGAGAAGCAACATGTCCGAATCCATTCTAAACGGTTCCGGCGTTTGCGAACTTAACATTGCTTGTGCCAAGAATGAATATGTCCATTTCTGTTTCCATTAAATTAGATCACTCGCCGTTAATCTAAAGATACACATGAGATCCTTTTAAGTTGTAGTCATTATAATTTTCCTTGAACATTAAATCGGTCCACAAAGTTGCAATTAAATTTCAAAGTGGACATTCTACTACCACTTTCAGACATAGTACACAAAACTGATCTTATCACGGTCGCAAGCACGCCTGTTTTCATTTGCCCCTTGGGGTAAGAGAGACAAATCCTATTGGGGCCACATTGATTTGATTATATCCATCATAGCTTTGTGCTAGGTGTTATAAAAATACGTAAGATAGTGAGAGAATCGGAGGCTTTAATAAATCAGTACACGATATTCTAACTAATATAATGGCTAAAAGGCAAGCAAAATAGAAATAGGTCTACGAGGTACAGCGGTAATTACACAAACCGATAAACTTACATATATATGTAAATATTTTAATTGATAATGTTGATATGAATTTCTTGCAATTATCAACTGGGGCCTTGGGGCGCCCTCTTCTAAAGGTAAATTTTTGACTAGAACAATAAGAAGCTGATGGTATTCCAATAGTAAATTTCCATACGTAATTTCATTGATGATGGAATGATTTCTTGGATTTTTGAATTTCATCTGACAAGAGGAATAAATATGAAGTTAAATTTTTTTTAGATAAACTTTTGCCCGTAGCTTTACTTTGACTCCAACCCGCCCGTAGCTTTACTTTGACTCCAAAAATTTACATAAAGGTGTCTATATATGTCTATATACATATATATAACATCGCTGATGTTAATAAATCTAATTTCAATCATGCGGAAGAGTACAAAACATGCCCATATGCAATAATGCAGAAATATTCGAAGCACATATTCCCTAATCGCGCAGTTTCAGGCAACTGCTGCTGTATTATAATTTCTTTGTAAGCTAATAGAATGTTTAGTAGAATATAACCTGCAGGCACATTAAATCTATTATTATTATTATTATTATTATAAACTTAGCCAGAGAATAAATTCTAAGACTAAAGTCTTAAATCACTAGCATCTAAGGCTTTCGGCTTTATTAAAAACTCTACCGCACTTGAGATTTGAACCCACGACCATTGAGTTGGTAGTCGAGACTCTTGCCTGCTCGGCCACTCAGGCGGATGCACACATTAAATCTAATAAATTCCTTTCGAAAGTAAAAAAAAAAAACATTTAGTTATTACATAAATAAGAAACTGATGCGGGAAAACTTTACCGCCATATCTGAGATATAACGGTGCATGCAAATGTAAGCGTTAGCTACACTCGAAATTAAACTATTGGGAAAGTTCGTCTCACAAATTCTTATGTGTTTCCCTTTGCTCTTCTCCTTTCGCTTTCTCTTTATTACCCTTTTAGAATTTCATCCACTCTCCCCACATATGAAAGTTGACATCGCTATAACGCACGACAGAAAGTTGCTTTAAATGGTTTTTTTTGGAATCTTGCCATGTGGTACCTACGACTCTTTTTTTGAATATTTCATCTTGAATTTTCAAGAAAAAAAAAAAAAAATGCGAGTTATAATATTTCATGTTTACACAGAGCTTGCTTGAATATATCATAAATGTAAGTGAACAAGAAAAATAATATTTTAATTATTTGAAAAATGCTCATAAGTGAGTGAAAATCACCTCCTAACATCACTCGTTATAAAGAAAGAAAGAAGAAGAAGAGAAATGATTCGAATTTTGAAATTTCGAGGAATTTATGAAAAATTTGAAAAGTGAGTTCACGTTTCCCATCCATAAACTTCGGTGTTCAACTATTGTCCACGAATGTCATGATCGAACTGCCTTTCCTTTTATAACCCCTGTGTATATTAAAAAAGTGTTTACACTAATTGACATACCGTATATATCGGGAATTTTTGGCAATTGCAAAGCATAGGCGATTTGTACATTTATTTGTTAGTAGCAAAATTTTCTTAATCCCCCCTAAACATCTGATTTCGTCACAATAATAAAAGATAAAGCATTGATTATTTATTATGTAGAAAGCCAACCCTCGACATTTCCTAATAATGAAATTTCCTAAAATAAAAAATAATCATAATATATATGCATACATGCAAGCATGCATTCACATACATTATATATATGTATACATACATAAGTTTTTAGATGGGCAACTTTTCGCCATCAATTAAAGAAGCCGTGATATCCGTAGGGAACTTTCCAATTAACTCAGTGCATATATCTTTAGCTGTTGTGCATCTAATAATGTTAAAAATTCTCTCTCTTAAAAACATATATACGTGTTTGCGTGTGTATTGATATGTTATTTTAGAATCTCGAATTCTAAAGAGTTCCATATGCTAATGTACTCGATAAAACGGAGTTAATACATAAATATATTTGTATAAAATTGTATTGCATACAGTTATTGCTTTGAGATATATTCATGTACATGATTAATTTTGAAAGTAATTAAAAATTTTTTTTGTTTGTATTTTAATTCAAATTCCAGAGCACTTCATCTCACTGCTCAATTCTCTATAAAATATTCGTTCTATTGAAAAAGTAAATAGTCAGCCATCATGATGACGGTTAATTATTGTTATTATTTT